CAGCTGGCAGTAGTATTTTCGTTCATGGATAGCAACGATGTCCCAAAAGTCATGTACTGACTAGTGAATACTGAACATTAAACAGCACTACGTAGGAAACACTGTCCTTCCGCGTGACCGCGTACAACTGAAGTTGACATTACATGGTTTATGAGACACCCGTAGTATCTTGGGGATTTTCTCTGTGAAAACTTGACACTTTCTTTCAGCTCAGATGACTTCTCGACTTCTAACAGGAGCAAGTGGTTGACGTTCGCCTCTGAAGCTTCCTTGGCGCAAAGTAGACGTCGACACGGTTGATTGCCTTATTCTTTCTTTCCTGAAAACCCACTATGAGCAACTCTTAAGTGAAACATTTTTAGAGACAAAGTCCACTTTCATCGTGTGGGCGGATTCAGGCCTATCGCTTTTGGTGCGCCATCTCTCTTCGCAAGGAGAAAGAGGAGTGCACCAATGAACAGGGTTTCGTGATCGGTTCGGCCATGTTCATACGATGAAAGTACACTATGCTAAAAAGAGGGGGACTTTCTGCCCTGGGAAAAACTTTCGGGAATGCGACCCCTGTCCCCACCCTTCCCCATCGTACCTACTGTTTTCATACATTTTCCCCAATTTCCACCAAATTTCCCAGTTTTTCCGGAATTCTCCGAAAATTTTCTAGCTTTTCCTAAACCTTTGATGCCGAACGGGGGGGGGATACATAGCACATGTGAAACGAAAAAAAAAAAAACGAGCGAAAAGTCAACAACAAGCGGTGAAATTCTTTCCAGCGTCAACAAATGTTCCAGAGGCTATACGATCCCCTCTCCTCCCTTCCCTTCCTCCCACTAAGCGACCGACCCACTGAGCGTCCTTATAAACAAGGATGATATGCAGTATCAAAAAGATTTTCTCATTAATAGGACCCCAGTGACCGAGTACGACCTCTCCCCGCTGGGCATTCCCCAACCTACGACGTGGTTTGGTTACAAAGCATTTCTAGCGCAAGTGTTTCCAAAAATGTCCCCTCCCTTCCAACTCATCAATGCTGTGCAGCGTTTGGTCATGTCACATTGGAATTGAACTATAAAAAGAGGCTTAGGCTCTTTCAGTGCTTGTTAGTTCTATTTATTACTGTCTAATGAGAATGCCTTTCTGAGAATTCATGGCGTAGTCAATACAGACAGAAAAATATATTCTAGAAATTCCGGGCTACAAACCCATTAGCCTGGAGAAATCAGCCGTTTTCAGTTCCAAACGGTTGGAAAAAAGTGGATAAAAGGCGTAAGCGCGCTATGAATTCACAGGGAGCAGTCAGGCATAACTCATTTACTAGTGAGGTTTCTTAGTAAAGTCATCGCTCGAAAGAGCTGTGTACTGAAAAATCGGTGAGATGACATCTCAATCTCCTAAAAACCGTAAAATGCTAAAAGATAAGTGAGAACTGTGCGATTTTTGAATGTGCAGACAATCACAACTTGAAAGATAAGTGAAAATTGTGCGATTTTTGAATGTGCAGCCGCAAAACTCTCCGAAAAGAATCCATATTCAGTAAATTCCGTTTCCTTAAAAGTTGCAGTCCAATCGCTAGTGGTGGGGTAGAACGTACCGTTGTCTCCCTTCCTGTGCGTCCTTCGCTGCTTGTCTTCGCTTTGAGGGATCAACGCACCGATGAGGACAGCATAGCGAGAGTGGGTCCGTGCTCCCCACACAAGCAGCACGTAATAGCGCAGCTTCGATTCTGACGAAAACAGAGGGAAACGTAAGAAGTTATTATGTATCAATCAATTGCCATACTTTCAACGTCTTTGAGGAAGTAGCTTGAGGCTTTCAATTTGGGGGAATTGGATACGAGTTTCCCTTACTCCCAGACTTTCAAATCCTAGGCCGAAATTTGTTTCTTCTGGCGGGAGGTAGGGGGTAAGGATGATCAAATGCTACCTCTAAGATTGTAATTGTAACCCCACGAGCAAAACTTACTATGGAGCCTTTGACTAAGCCACCGCCCGTCGAAGCAGGTCCTGTCGCCGAACAAACATGTCCCTGGACACGAATCCTGGTGCCAGCTTATTCTAAGGGTGAGTTTGACCTCCTGAAAACGGCTACAGCTGCGATTAGCGCGAAAGCGTCTGGGTGGCCGGCACCCGAAATTGGCCTGCCACTTCCGCGTCCGTGAAGCGGACGTCAAACAGTGCCGCATAGAGCGGATGTAACAATGCACTTGTTCAAGGAATCGTTAGCTCAGCCATCTCTCTCACAAGAAAACAGTTCGATCAAATCCTGACCCGAATTTTGAGCATTGGGGCACTACAGGGCGAACAGTGCTAGAGAAGTTTCTATGACGTCCATGTATTAACCTTTTTTTGAATTTCGATTCGTTAAGGGCCTTCAGAGGTGATCGGATAGCGCAAAAAGTCTTAGCGATTGCGAGCTTTAATAATCAACCAATTCTCGATCAGAAAGAATATCCAAAGTCTTTGAAATAGCGACTTGCCAAGTTTTAGTGGCTGGGTCAACCGTTTTTGAGAAAATATTCTCAACTGTGGGCCCAAAGACTGACCAAAGCTTTCATGAGACGACCCCTCTGGATCCCTGCCTTTCCGCTCACCCTTTTACCGGGATAAGTCCTGCCGCTGGGGATGATTTTCACAATTTGCAACCCCTGCAGAGTTTTCCCCTCTAATGCGATCCCCCCTCACATGCCTCATCCTACCCAAACTTTCCTGAATTTTCTCAAGTTCCTACAACTTTTTCGAAGTTTTTTTTTTCGAAAATTCTCCTCATTTTCCCCCAATAACCAGTCAAGCAGTGGAGGGGGTTGTGGATGGGAAGAGCTACGCCTCTCGCTGACGTCTTGCTGCGCTACATTTGTACCCTTATCGTTGATTAAATGGTGAATTTTTTCTGGTAATAGATGAGAAACAATTTTTCGTTTAATGCTTTCAATTAAAAGTGCACTTTTAGCATAGCTACATCCTGCTGAAACTTCAGATAAGCCTTTAAATGGAATGAAATGTTTTAATGTAAGGTCATAACAATTTGAAAGATAATTTCATACAGTCTTGTTCGCTGCGGATCAAGGGGCGTGTTAGCGAGGCTTGGTTATCGCGCTACTAGCGAGTTTTCCACCAGTTGCTGAGATGAGTAAAGAACAAAATTTGATGGAAACGACTAATGCGAAGACAATGACACTTGACGCTGGTCTCCTGCTGGAAGAGAAAAAAGAAGGAAAAAAGGAAGGGGCCCGCAACGACCCATCTTTCTCGACACGCTCCGTCATCCGCAGCGAACAGGACTACACAATCAACCAATAAATGACCGTAGGCCTTATCACCGCCCACTTTAAAGAGCTACAGCCCGACACCAGCTGCATTGTCATTACTATAGAATTTTGCTTCGAATGTGCACTTTACCTGTCGCTCTATTTGCAATATCAGATATGATAGCCGAATGTATTCAGAGCAACAAGTGGAAATTGACAAAGGTAGAGCAGATAGAGCACCGCATCCATGTACAAGTACGTCAGTAGACCAGATGGAGTCGATCTGGAATTTTTTCTTTTTTGCATAAAAATCCAATTTTATTTGCGGTATTGATTTATTCCAGCCAATAATATCAAAGAAACCCGAAACACGCCCCGCCTTCAGTAGGCGGCCTTGAAAAGAGAGGCGGGCAAGACACTCGTAGCTCGTCGCGTCGCCACGTGCGGCGTATCGGCGCGACAAATTCTTCGATGTGCATCAGTTTGCCAACTGCAGCAGCGAAACTCATATAAATTCGAGCAGAGGCAAGTTTACGCAACGGGCAGTATAGGGCCTTCCCGTTCCTTTAACGATCTACTTCACACGGCCAGGCAGAACAACTCGTCTGTCGAGCGCGGCGTCGCTCGCCACGCCCATCAGCGCGACATATTACGATTGTCTTGTTGCGCACTCTATTGAAGTATTGTGACTTGATTCGTAGCCAGTTGTATTCAACATATAGGCTTGTATTTACTTATGAAAAAGTATTTGAAAAGGAAGCCAATTGATAAAGAACTCACTGCAGTGAATAGACTTCATCGATCAGCTGCAATGTATAATATGGAGTATTCAGGATCATCTGCACAGTTGCCATAAAAAGGCATCGTCGGATTGCCCGCTGACGTCGTAAATGCGATAACTGAAAAAGAAAATCGTTCTGGATCTAGGAGTGATTTTTAGAGAAACAGTCCGCAAGATCGGTATCCGATTTAGGAGGGGCGCCGTTTTCCAGAGCACAATGTGCACCTGTTATGAAGGTCAGGCCCCGATATGCATCATTGGCGGTTTTCACCGTTTTCGGAAGAAGGCGTCGTATCGAATAGCAGGCTCACAATAGGGTTGAACCTAACTATCTAGCATGACCCCGCGCGACATCGCGCTCTAGCTACCAGCCAAGGAGGGATCTTCACACTCGTACGCGAGCGTTTGCGTTGTGACCAATCAATTAATGCTCAGATCATGGGCAGCGTTGCGTCGAGACCGCAATCAAATGGATCACTCCTCGTCCGTCGTGGTCCTCTTCACAGGCTCGTTCCTGTTTTGTACCGAGATAGAAGAGCAGTGCACTAATAAGGGATGCGCAACGGTTCTCTGTCTCCGCCCACAGAATCAGCATGGAGCAAGTGTTTTTGATTTAATTAATGAGAGTTTAATTTATATCAAAGAAAGTCTAACTGTGTTCAGTTCCACGGTTGGAAATTAATGGATCGAAAGTGAAAGAACTTACCCTAAGGCTCTCCCTGGATTGGATCTTGAGCCCTTCGGCAGGTTGCTGACAAGAGCTTTGTGCTTGAGACCAAGTCACTTGACAAAACAGTGAATCTGAACACCAAGTCACTTGACAAAATTGCGAATCTGAACATAATCAAATTTGACTTTTTCAGTTCTTTTAAACTGTGTTCTGAGTGAGCTGTCGACTAGACAACTGAACTCACTTAGGTTCATTATTATGGCAACAAAGTACAAGAAGATCAGCGAGAATCGTGCAGGCAAACGGGCACACATAGGTGAACGCTGCTTCAAAGAATGCCACCAATTTGTAGCCTTCATCACTGAAAATAAACATTTCACAATTTGAACTGGGCCAAGGTTGGGTTTCCCAGAGGCAAGTTCCGCGTTTATCAGATGGGTGGGGCAGGACCTGCAGTTGCGCCCTCCTCATTGGCGTCTCACTCTAATCAAAGCGGTGGAGAGGACAAGAGCCCTGACGGGGTACAGTCTTCAAAAAGCGAATCGACGGGGAGTGTCG